CGGTCACCGCCCGGAGGACCAGAGCTGGGGTCGGAACCCAGGCCACCTGCCCCGAGCCGCGCCGCGGCCAAGCCCTGCTCAGCTTGCGAGATGACCCCGACCCCAAGGCCCCAGTAGCCCGGCGGGGCCCTGGGGACCTGGAGACAGAAGGTCCCGTAGAGAAGGGGCACCACCATTAACTCCCATCAGAGGCAGGAGGGACTCCCCGAGAAAAAACGGGAATTCATGAAATTTTACTGTTGTTCCATGTTGGCCGCTAATTTAAAAAGTTTAACCCCAGGCCTGCGGAACTGAACACAGCCACAGGCCAGAATCCGCTCAGGGGGCTCTAGTTTGCCACCTCGGGGTTCAGACACAACTTTCCCGACAGCTTTGACTCCCGAAAGCACAAGTCCCGGTCCCGTTGCAACCTCCCTCCCTGGCAGCCGTCTGTGAGGCTCCCCAGGCGCCAGGGTCCGTGGGCTGCCTGTCCCCGTCCCCCAACGAGATCAGTCCCCGCGCGGTGGCTGGAGCCGCAGGGCCACCTCTACCCTGCGGAGGAGGAGCTGTCCCCAGAAACCAGGGACAGTTGCGGAGACGCCCGCCCTTCCCGACCAGTGAGGACGAGGACGGGACCGGAGCACAAGTGCTCTGTTTGTCCTCCTTGCGGCTGTCCCTGCGCCCGGCCGGGGTGTTTTCAATTTGGAGGAATAAATAAGCCTCGTGTGTTTACAGGGCTCTTTGAACCCGGGAACGGCCCAAACTACAAATTTGTAAACCTGGCCGCGGTTCAGGACCTCAAAAACATTTCTCAAAATTCTGGTTTCCACACAGTCCGAAACGTACCCTCCCACGTGTTTGTGCCTCGTGGAGCTTTTGTTTATTTTCGCTGGAACGCGTCCGCATGGCCCCAGCATTGCGCACAGTGAACTCATCTCTTACGGCCGTCCGATGTCCAGAAAGCCCCGGAGCGTCAGACCAGCCCTGCATCAAACCGCCTTCCTCCCCGGAAATAACAAGCTTTCATTTTGCTGGGAGAAAGGATCTGGAAGGCTCAGAGGTTCCGAGGGCAGAGAACACTGCTCCAGAAGATGTCAAACGGGCCCAGATGCTACAGAGCGAGTCACTTTTCTTATGAAATAAAAAGGAGCAGGTCCCTGATTCTGTGTTTTGTCCGTCGTATGACTTTGGCCACAGGCTGTGACTGTCTTCTGGGGCGGTCCCACCCCCTGCCCAGCCCCTCTCCACGGACAAGAAAGAAGCACAGCGCCCGCGAGTGCTGACAGGCCCTGTCCTCCCGTCACCAGCACCCGGAGCGAGAAATAACGTCACCGCACCGTCAATTTCCTTCCCACAAACGCCGTGGCCCGAACCCTGCTGTGACATCGCTGCGTCTATGTTTTTAAGGAGGTTTTTTTCTCGCCCCTTTACAAGGTTAAATGTTTGGATCTCACATCTCTGTGAGGCAACGTGACACCTCTCGGCCTCGGAGACAAGGCTCTGTCGGCCGCCTGTGTCCCCCCCCCCGCCCGCCCCCCACGTTTGGCGTGTGTGTGCGTGTTCTGCAGTTGGTGAGAACTTCGCGTCACACTGCGCTGGCCCGAGCACGGGGGGCTCCCCGACAACGACGTGCGTTGGGGAAACACCGCAGCCGCCGACCACTCACCTTCGGGGCCGCACCGCGCGGGGTTGCTGATGCAGGAGCTCTGGAACCTTCCGTAGTAGAGCAGCGTGACCCCTCTCTCCTCCTTGAGGTAGATGCCTTTGTTGACCCGCCCTTCCACGATGTCTGAGAAAGACAGATGGCATCAGTGACCTCGCGAGACTGAAAGCCTAGGGTCGTGTGTCAGACTGACAACTTGTATATAATATAGACTGTTATTTATCTAATTGTATTATATATTTATAATCCACGTTATAATAGTAATATAGAATGCATTAATATTCGATTATTAATAATTAAATTATAAATAATGTATGGTAAATAATGATCTATGTCAGATAATAATAATTTATGTTAGATAATAAATTAGTATTAAATCCCATTGATATTATATTTGCATAAGATACATGTCATAATATAATATTATAGTTATTATATTTGCCCACAGGCGCACTCTAAGCAGGATATGACGCTAACCTCCTACTGTCCTGAACTTTGGTGGCATCGACATGTTTTATGTCTCCTTCCGGCTCCCACCCTCCCCTGAACAATTTCGGAAGAAAAGGAAAAAAAACAACAACGAACCCCCCGGCCCTTTGAAGTCCCAATGAAAACCCCCGAACCCAAAAAAGGGGAACCAAGAATTAAAAAAAAAAAAAAAAGCACCCATTTTCAGACTCTACGAGGAAAACCCAGAGTCACGTTTTAAATAGCCCGGGAAGAACCTGCCGAGTGCACAAAACGGCCGTGAGTCGGGTGACCTGCCCCGCGCAGCCGGGCTTCATCCCATTCCCGCAGCAAACACGTCCCGTGCCGGGAGCGTGAGGTCAATGGTTTGCAGACTAGATAAGCAAAGACCTTAAAAACCAAGAGTGAGCGGCATTCATTGGTGACGGGGCTCACAGGCGCTCAGGCGTCTCCGCCACCAGGTGGGCGGGGCAGAGGATGCCCCAGGTCCGCCAGCTGCGGATGTGCGGAAGGGCTACCTGGTCTTTCGACCTGGCCCCGACACCGCTCGGCTACAGACAGCCAAATCGAGGGGCCTCGGTGTTCCTCCTTACTCTTTCTAAACCCATCCTTTTTTATTTATCCCATCGATTGCTGGGAGAGGTCTGCCTAGTGCAGATGTAAATGGGTCACTAGTGGTTGCATGACAGCATCAGGCTAGTGGATCGGGAAAATTAACGTCGGAGGCCAGACACCTCACAGGCGAAAGAGCAATCAGTTCCGTGTTGAAAAGGATCTGAGCACGATCGGAGCTGGCGCACACCAGTCAAATAAACGCCTCGGTTGCTATCAGCAAACTGAGCTGTGCAGGAAAAACGGAAGCCAGGTGGGCTCCAGGGGTTATGAAATAAGATAAGTTAATCGTGACTCTTGTGGCTGGGTCTCCTACAACAGCTTCTGATGATTCTTTTTAAATCCAGCTACAGAAGCAATGCGGATTTTATGGTTTGTAAGGGATCAGATGTTCGACGTGGCATTTTAAAATCAACTTTGCTTTCCCGTTAAACGGGCCTGCTTTTCCTACCCCAAAGGACATGCTCCATTTAAAAATCCAAACAATTTCTATGTTTAGAAAAGTTCTCCTCTTGTGTCTGTTTTGTTCTGAAAACAAGCAGCTGGTTCAGAAAGTGCTGGTAACTTGCAACTCTAGTCCCATCCCGCCTTCTGATGTATCTCGACCTGTGACACCTGCCTTAGGCTTAACCCTAAGCGGCCACCGTTAACAGCTGGGTCTGCTGCGCCTGACGTGGACTTTCCCGTCTGCCAGCCACGGCAGACAGAATTCACGTGCCACCAAAGTGCGTGGCCTCAAACCTCGCCGCAGGCCCAATCGCGACAGAACGCAGAGCGAACGGGCGCGTGCTCACCTACGGTCGCAGAGAAATTTGAGTAGGCAGAGTCATTGGTGTACACAAAAGTAGAGTTATGGGGAGGGAGCACAGTGAGGTTGTGGGTTCGCAACGCTGGGGGAAACGACAAAAGAGAAAAGCACAAAAAATGAGTGAGACAAAACACAGACGGACCCGACATATGTCTCGACCCAAACACGCATCGGGAGGGCCCGTCCAGCCGAGGGACACCTCTCGTCCTCTCTTCCGCCTCCCCTCCCTGCAGCCCCCCCCGGCCGCACCCCCTCCCGGGCCCGCGGGTCCCAGAGCCAGGGCACGATGGCTGTGAGTTTGGTGCCAGCAACAGTTCTCATCACTGGCTCCCGCTGCTACGCGGACACGTAGTTGAGAGATACGATCTTGAACTCGGCCATTTAGGAAACGGCCTTCGCAGAAGGGTTAATGGTGATGACGTCACGAGGACGGATGAGACAGAAACACAGCGTGAGGACAACTGCGTGGGACACGACAAACGGATGAAACAGCGGAGAATTCGGCAACAAATAACAAAGCCGGGCATCCGGGAGCTGCTCTTCAAGGGCCCCGGGCTGTCCCCTGCCGGCAAAACGTGCTGACGGATTCTATTCCGTTCCTTTTTCCCTTAAGAAGCCTGTGATCAAAGTGAAATACGCCGGCGCAGCGCCGCGACGTGAGGAATGGCTCCCGCAGGGAAGCGCCGTGAACCCGTCACCGTCCCGTGTTTCAGAGCAAGCCCTGATGTATTAGGGTTTTCCTAGAAGCCAATACATCCAGCAAACAAAATTCCCCTGCAGTGTATAACTACATGTGAGTAATTATGTCACCTTGGGAGAAGACTTTTTCCTGGGAAAAGGTTTTCCAAACGCCAAGAGTTACTGATTTAATCCACAACACGGAGTGGGGATGGGGGCGGGGAGAAATATGCAGGTCGTCATTCGAGCTCCTGTTTGAATAACTCCTAAAGTTTTCGTTGCTGCGTCCTGAGCAATGAGCTATTTCAACAACGCATTTCCACTTGGTGAAATGATCGCCTTTGAGTGGCTTTAAATTAAAGGCCCTGAAAAAGGGAAACTAGATTATAACGAGGGAACGTGGTTTGTTTTAACCTGTGCCAGCCGCAGGACAAACTTGGACGGGACTTTTTTCATTCCTGCAATGCAGAGTTCACGGGAGCGAGGGAAATACCGGCATGCTAGTGTGGGAAGGACAGCAACCGCAATAGGTGGCTTTTGACAAAAGCTGCATGACGCAGAGCCGGTACAGAAACGACTGAAGCGTGTGCTACGGCTGGTGCACAGTAAGACCCCTTCTGTATACCTCGGCCGTCTGACACGTCCAACAGAACTAAGCCAATAAAAAATAAAAACGTAAAACCATCCCAAATCCTTCAAGACTTACAGTTGGAAAAAGGTTCTTATTGGGATGGGAAAAACATGCCCGGGGATATCTTGGGTTTCTCCTGCTGGCGAATGGAGGAGTGGAGTCAAATAGAGACACTGTTCCCCACGGAACTGGACCCCTGGGAAGCCCTCAGGTGGCGTTTAGTCTTCTCAAGGGTGGCTGGTGTGTGGGAAGCTGGTGGGAGGTGTCAGGGCCCCTGCGAGTGAAACGGTGGCCCACGGACGTGCGAGTCTTAGCGGCACCTGCTGGGAACAGGCCCCTGCTCTGACGGGCACGGGGACTGTGCCGCTTTGGCCGAGCTAGAGAGTGTGCGCCCGGACTCATCCGCAGACGGAGCCGTGACAGCAGCTTCTGTTTCGAGGTTGGGGGAAAATGCACATTCGAATCACATTTTGCATCAGGAATGCTGTCCTTCAACACATAATAGTTCTAGATATGAAAGTTCCAGTAAAATACTGTGCGATAATTACGAGGGGGAAGCTACACAAGTATTTGCTCATCTCTTCCCTCCCGGTTTCGGCTCAGAGCAGATTCCTCCCGCGTCCGCCCCGATGGCACGTGGCCTCCCGCGACCACGGCGTCCTCACCACCCACATCTACCTCCAGTCGTGTCCTGCAGTTCGCGGATCCCGTCCACGTTCTCCAGCGGCCAGTAGTGGGAAGCAGAAGCCAAGACCTCAAACCCTTGGGGAAGAAGAGGAAACATTTGAGATCACGTCAGGGAGGAGAGAACGGCTGATAAGGAACTGCGGAGCACACACTTCGCGAGGGAAGAGCGACGTTCCGCGATCACCCAACAGGGAAAAGGCACCGGATGAAAGCCAGTGCTCAGGCCGGGTGTAATGGCTCACGCCTGTAATCCTAGCACTCTGGGAGGCCGAGGTGGGAGGATCGCTCAAGGTCAGGAGTTCGAGACCAGCCTGAGCAAGAGCAAGACCCCGTCTCTACTAAAAA